TTGGACCTGGCTCCATTGGCCAGCTCAGTGCAAGTGACTATGTTGTGGCCTAACTGCTCAGCAGCTTGGTTCCAAGGCCAAGCATTGACCACTCCTTTTCTCTCCTTGTCAGTGCCCTTGCTGGAGCTGGGACTGACTGATGCCATCTCCCTGAGGCTGGACGATGGCAATGCCGGCCTCTGCTGGGCTCGGCCAGCCACTGAGCTTCCTGCACTGCCAGGTGAGCCTGCTGCCTGTTCCTTGTCTCTTATCAGCTCTTGTCGGCAGAGCAGCCAGGTTTCAACTCCAGTTTGTGCTGAAAGGCCGCAGCAAGGCAGAGAGGGGGCGTGTACATAGTTGTTACTAATGCCACTGCATTTACTGCTGGCAGAGAGGCTCATCATCTTGGGAAGACTCGGTCAAAGGATACAGCTGTGAAGAACATGAGTTTAAACTGCACCTTATAAGACACATGCTCTTATGTACTTTCTGAGAGGACTTTCAGAATTCATTTGTTTGCTTTGTTGGGTTTGTTGGTTTTGGGTTTTTTTTTTCCTTTTTCTTATTTAAAATATTCTTACTAACTCCAACAGTTTGAATCTAGGTTTTGTTGTTTGGGTTTGTTTTTGGTGTGGAGTGTTTTGTTGTTATTGTTGTGGGTTGTTTTTTTTAAATTGTTTTTCTAACAAGAAGCATTACCCCAAAAGTAAAATTTTCCTGCTCACTCTTCACTAATAAAAAGGTTAGACCAAGAGCTGGATTCCATGGCATTCTTTAATTCCCATGGTACCTGAGCTATTCCTCGATTTTTCTTTTCTAAGAAGTGTGGGAGAAAAACAGTGACTATCCAGTGCCACTGGCATTGCTGTATTTTAAATTCTCGATGCTCTTTAACCGGAGTTCGTGGTTTTCCTCGTCAACATCTTCATCTCCTTCATAGCACTCAGGAGTCCATTTCTTTTAAAATACGCGTCAGAGATTTAACAGCATCATACCAAAAGGTTCCCCCTCTTAAAACATGTTCATAGTGAGCCCAGCAAGAAGACCTGATGGTAGAACACGGCACCAAATGGAACCTGAGAAAATTATTAATTGAAGGTCTCCCCCGGCAGCTTCGCTGGAAGAACAAGAAAAAGACTGTGGCTGTGGGCTTTCCACAGTTATCCTGCATGACACAGTTTATTTCATAGCATTCTATACATACACCCAGTCATATGATTTTAGGGGAACTTGGGGTAGGGGTCAAAGGAGTTTAATATGTTAGAGAATCATCAAAATAAAATAAAATTGGAACTTAAAGGTGTGTTGTGTCAGTGACAACGAAAAGGCACCACAGTTAGGATGGAAGATAATAATAGCATGGTGCCGTCTCTACTTTTCTGGATTTCTCGTTAACTACTGTGGGTTCAGGAACTGGCTTAATGACTTTTCCAGGATTTCGTCTGGTCCTTTATCAGTTCACTGAGCAACAGCACAGGCCAGGAAAGCCTCAGGAATGAATGGGGCACAGCATGCCCTCCCTCCATGCCTGTGGCAGCCCCATCCCAGCCACTGGGCGTGAGCCTCAGACCAGGGCGCCTCCTCAAGGCCAGGGCGAGACCCAGGAGGAGCGGCAGGCACTGGGCGCTTACATTTTCTCTCTGAGCTCATGCTGTTTTGCTGCTGTAAAATGCGCAGTTAAACCTAATTGAATCTGACAATAATAAATGACATATTGAAATTATATAGTTCACCTAAGGAATAGCAATGCAAACAGTGAAGACACCAGAAGCCAGAGCTCGGGAAATGTCATGTTCGTGTAGGAATGCTCTCCATTTTCCCCAGACCTTTACTGTCTCTCTCTCTCTCTTTTTTTTAAAAAAGGGAACACTCCAGACCACCCAGTGCAATAAGTCCTTTTTGGAAATGATACATAAAATCATCACTTTAATTCTGCTTTTTGCCCCTGTTGTCGTAATATGGCCTTCAACCTATAAATACAGAAGGAATTGACTGTCGGAGGGGTGGGAGGAGGAGGAATATAAACTCATTTTTCTCCCTTGCCTTGGCGAGCTAAACATGCCCTTGTTAAGGGAACTTGTGGAAGTCCAGGGCTCTGTAAGGGTGTTAAATATTAAGTGACTGTAGTCTGTGCCCTCATTTTCCCCTTGACGACCCCCAGTGCTGAGAGCACAGCCAGGCTTGGTTTCCTTGCGAGAACACAATTTCCACAATCTGTTTTCTTTTCAGGCAGAGGAAGGCTTATTTACAGAACGTGTTCATGTCCTTCCTATCATTCCACTCATAATAAAGGAAAGGTCATAACCACATCCACTTCCAAGCCAGTCTCCTCTCTCCCAGCCCTGCTCCCCCCCACCCCCGCCACATTTAAGTATGCCTTTTGGCTACAACCTTGTAGACTAAACCATTCACTGCATCTTTTGTATAAATGACACAGCAGAAAGACGCAAGAAATTCCATCAGGAGCAGTTCAACACAAGGCATCTGGGATGTCCTTGGTCTAGATCGGCTCATAGTGACTGCTCCAGATGCTGTTCAGCAGCCGCAGACCAAGCCCTGTTTTACTGATGGAGCCTCATCCTTCGCCTTTGCAAGATCTCTTGGCCTAATTAAATCTCAGAGAGACAGAGCCTTGGCAGCAGGTTAAAGTAAGCTGCTAGATTGGAATGTAGGAGTTGGGCTCAAAACAAAATTGTGGAGTTTAACTGGGTGCGTCTCTGGTTTCAATGAAATACTTTGACAGAGTGTGGTAGCAGGTCTGTGCCTAAGCTTTTCAAAACCATTTTTCCTTTTCCTTAATTGTAGTTCCCTGGTTGTTTTTATATTATGAGCTACTTGTAGAAAAATACAGGAAGCATAATTACAATACAGAGCTCCTTTCTCAAGCCCACTGAGATCATCTGAAGCCAAACTGGGTTTTAGGGTTTTGCTAACTATAAGTTGAGAGCCATGAATTGCACCCTTTGAAATTCTGGTTGATTTTCAGCAAGTGTTGTGTGATTAAACAATAGCTGAGTTTCTTGGAGCTGTGTGACTGTTATGGAATTGAAAGGGAGCTGGGGGTGCTGCTTCATGATGACCATTTCACAGCTCCTTCTGGGGAACAGGAAGGAGTAGCTTTGAATGACTATAAGAGTGAAGTACAAGGGTCAGAGAAATAAATACAAGGTTTTTTTGGGAATAGGAAAAAGAAATTGTTTTATTTTCCATGTGTATCTTCACCTAGCACTCTGTTAAATTGCTAATTACTCATTTTCATATACTATTTCCATGAAGACTCTGCTTATGGGCCGTGAGAGCCAGCAGAAAGAACTTATTTTACTATTACAAACACTCTGGAAAGGAAATCAGTACTTCAGTGGATTATAAAATGTAAAGCCTTCAGCGGGTTTGATTTCTTCTAGCCTAAAAAATAATGGTAGATTATTGAAAATGAGAGTTGTTGAGTGCACTCTTCTAATGTAAGATTTCAAGTAAGAGGTACAGGTTTTCGAAAGTGGAATCTGAACCTGTGAGGTAAAAGACCTTCCCATTCCACATCTGTCTCAGGGTCCTGCCTCCACCACCCTTCAGGGGAGCTCAGAACCAGCCTGATTGTCTGCTGGACCATTTGATGGGACTAAGACATTTGCAGCCAAAGTCTCTGTGTTCTGGGTGGTCTGCCGTGTGGCTGTGCATCCCGTGTGCTTCGAGTTAAACCTGTGCCAGGCTACCTGCCAGTCTTCCTTTTGTCTTGGGATCTCAGATCTTATCACTCTTTGATGAATAAATTTGCATACGAAAAACTATTTCCCTTACTCCCATCTCGGTCTTTTTTCCCCTCTTTCTCTCCGGAGAGTGGTGATAAATGCGCAGGTGCAGACTGAGGCAGGGGTGCATTTATTTCTCTTCGGTTTCCTTTCCAGCGGTGCCCCTAAGCTAACCGGCAGGAGCTGCAGTGGGCCGCGTGGGTGCTTGCCTCGTGCTGAGGGCTGAGGACTGAGGGCTGAGGGCTGAGGGCTGAGGGCAGAGGGCCTCGGCTCTGATCTCAGAGTCTAGCTCTCCACCAGGCAGGAGAGGAGCCTCAGCAGCTTCAGCCCAGCCTTCCGCTCGCATGGAAATAAACATGCTCCTTCCTCCACTGCGGCGTGCAGGCGACGCACTAGGGTATGCTGGTTGCATTTTGCAGTCGGTCATGAAATCAACGATGTGGGTCTTACCTGCGCTGTTGACACACCGGCGGAAAGGAGAGGCTGTGTAGTGACCCCCAGTGAACATTAACTATTGCGCCCGAGATTTTTAGTTTCATTTCTTTCCGAGTGTCCAGAAGGCGCGGCTGGCTCAGGGCTGCGGGGCCCCATCGTCCTAGGACTCTTCCGATGGCCAGTGCTGTGGCTGGCGGCTGACAGCCACCAGGACAACCCAGAGTTAGAGGAGCAAGTGGCGGCCAAGCCTGGCGACCAGCTCCGGGCTCGCGCTGGGACTGCAGGCGCCTGGGCGCACGGGAAGGGCCGCGCACTGCAGAGTCGCCTCCCCCAGTGTAGACGGTGGCTCAGTCCCAGCAGCTGGGGTCCGCTGTGGCCAGAGACAGCCCTGCAAGGAGCAGGGCGCTCGCCAGAGGTGCCACACTGTGACGCGCGGGCGAGAGCCGCCCGTCTGGTGATTTATTTACTTCTCTTTTTTAGCTGGAGAAGTGCAGTAATTTGAAACAGTTCTCACAGTAGCGTCCCTGACAACTTAATGTTAAAAAAAGTCATTAAAGAGTTTGCAGGACACAATTGGGGGAGGGGAACGCGGGGAGAAGAGCGGCTGGAGCAAGTTGAGGATTGATGGCTTTTTACGGTTCTCAAGTGGCCTGCGCAGTGTATACCTAATGCAGCCCCGGGATTTATGGCTCCGAGCTTGGTGAAGCCCAGGAGAGCCTGTCCCGGTACGCGCCCGGGACAGGGAGCAGGCAGGCGCAGGGGCTTGGAGCAGGGGCGTCCTCCTGGGCTCAGTCCACCAACACTCGACCTGACCCGTGTTCTCTTCCCCCACCACAGGACTTTCTGCAGGGTGACAGCTCCAAGGCCAAGCAGAAGCTCAGCTGGCAGCCCCAGGTCACATTTGATGTGAGTTTCCACATGGGAAGTAAGGGACTTCAGAGGTGGGCTCAGAGAGGCCGGTGAAGGGATCAGTCCGAGGCAGGGAGGCCAGGACCCTGGGGCAGGAAGGTGGGAAGGAGTTGCCGGGAGAGGGTGAGTTCTAGAAAATCTTGGTGGAAACCCTCTCATCTCTCACTCTCTTTGGTGCCCCAGGAATTGGTGCGTGAGATGGTGGACGCAGACGTGGAACTCATGAAGAACAACCCCAACGCCTGAGGCGGGGCTCACAGCGTGGCACTGGCTCCTGGCTGTGAGGACGCCAGCACCCCCCTCCCCCGGTCTGGGTTTGCGGCAGTAGACCTCCTTGCTTCCACTTTTCCTTTCATGGGCACCACCTTTGAATGGTTTTGTGAAATCAAGATTTAATCACATCCACTTCACTTAAAATTATGTCCTTAGACAACTGAAATTGTGGGACCTTCGGATTTTATTTCTTTTCTTATTAAATACGACCTTTTTATGAATAGCACTGGCTAAGTTACTGTCAACAATTTCCTCGAGTTCAACAAAGCGACTATCAAGCGCACCCCCTCCAAAAGACAGTTTGACAGGGTTGCAGCCCACCTCTGGCTTGCGGGGGTGGTATATGGGGGCCGCCTCTGGCCAATTTCTGGAACAATAAGGTTTTCTACCAGCACCAGAATAAATACTACCAGACTAGAGTAAATCCCCCATCCCATCATTGCTAGCTGTACCTAGAACTCTGACTACCTCAGAAAATGGTCTGAGAAATAGAGGGGGGTTAGAAGAAAAAAAATGCCAAGTGGAACTGTGCTTAAGTGTTTGCTAAGCTGTGGGAGGCCACACTCACCCACCTGACCTCTGCACTTCAGCTCATTGCCATAAATATTACAGCTTTGGATACCCTATGGGATATTCTACCCTGTATTATAGAGTCCTTCACTCAAGGGCAACAAGCTTTTGTTTAGTTTTGTTTTGTTGAAGAAACTTTAAGGTAAGTGAATCATTTTTGTTTACCCAAAGAGTCAGAGCCATACTGCAATGGTCTACAACTTGTCACTTTTTACAGTCCTGTATTAGTTCCTAATTCTAAATTGCATTTATTCATCTGACAAATATACATTAGGTACCTGTTACACAGGCTGAACCTTAAAGTATCCCCATGATAATTAGAAATTACCACAAAGACGTTCAGGTCTGCTCGAGATCATGGGATCCAGTGCTGCAGACGCAGCCGGGGCCTGACTTACGGGTGTTTGTCCCTGAGCTGAAGTATCTGCAGGTAAGCATGCTGACACACGTGTGTCATGGCTGGGACAGCAGAAGACAAAGATATGTGCAGGCACACATGAGTGGTACAGGTGCAGCTCATGAACAGTCCAGGTCTGGACACCTCCCCTCCTCCAGTAAATATAAAGTACAACTTCAGAGCAAATGGCATCTCTGCCTTGCACAAGATGGTGTGTGAGGCTATTTCTGACTGTCTCACAGGCAAGTTTATGATCCGGGGGAGGATACTGAGGCTCCAGGACTGGCGGTAAGGAGAGAGGGCTCTTTGTGTGGCTGCTGGAGGTCACAGAGAAAGCGAGGGGCGGCTCCAGCTTCCAAGAGGCAGGGGGGTGCCTGTAGAGCTGCGCCCACCCGGTTCTCAGAAGTCAGCCCGCTGAGCCTTCCCCGCTTGGGATGCTGCTAATTGGAAACAGATGGTCCCTTGAAGGTTGGTCCTCCATGACTGGGAGACTAGGACACATGTCACATGGAGTGTCACATAGTCACAAATAGCGCACACACATATCCACATCCACACACAAACACCCATACAAACAACTCACAAATATGGTACCTTAATTGCCACACAAAAGTACAAATATCACACTCACATATACACAACTCACAAACACCCACACACAAACTATCACACATATAAACATATAACCACACACATTCACAAATGCCCACCACAAACACACAAGTATAACATGCATAAAAACAAATACCCACACACAAATACAAGTCACAAAAATGGGGTCTTACACTGTCACACACATATACATACACACATATCACAGATACATGCACACATACCCCCACACAAACAACATATTCATATACTATATACATATGTCCACAAATACAAATGTCAAACACATATCCACACACAAACACAAATACCATACAAACATGATGCTTTATACTGTCACACACAAACACACGTACTTGCAAACACAACTCTGGCATGAACTGGCTCACACTTTTACACTCATAAATACAAACACAAGCCCACATGGGTACACTGTGCCCTTTTGCCCACACCCTGCCAGTAGGTCACTTGAGCCCACCACCCTTCTCCTGTGAGGCATTGGGACTGCAGTAGCATCTCTCCACCATGATCAGCTCAGTGGGAGCAGGAGAGATGTGAGGCACAGGCTTTTGTGACGCAAGGGGATCCATGATTTAAAATTCTAATTCTCAAAATGGATTGGAACATCAAGGTTTTGAAGGAAACAAAAAGGTATCTTCAGTTTCAACCTTCTCTCTATTCTAGCACCCTTGATAACAGTGGGTGGAGGTTTAAAAGAAGAAAAAGAACAGATTTGTGTCAATCTTTCTGTGCTCTGAGAGAGTATAATTTGGATGTCCTTCAAGACATTTCTTATTAAAGATTTTCTTAAATGTCATCTCAGTATCTGTGAACTTATTTTTCTCATCTCTTTTGTTGACTGTTGCTTTTAGTTGTGATGAAGTATCCGATCTTTCAATTTTTTTCATTCGACATAAGCACTCAGTACACACAAATATGATAAAGCAGTCTTCTTCTTCCGAGAAGGGACAAGACTTGCAGGTATTGGTTTACCATGCAGTCTCACTGTTCAACTCACCTGCTTGCCAGAATCCAGCAGGGTGTCCTTTGTATCTGGTGTCCTTTGTCTTGGAGGGATTAGCAGCTAAACCCCTCATACCTCAAAGCTGCTCTGGGATAGGGCTCTAGAGGACTGGCTGCTGATAACTTTAAAGGACGTGTATCAGTGCTGCTTTGACCCAACAAGGTTGATCCCACCAAGATGGCAGCAGTATTGGCCCAGGCAAGTGTGGCCTGGGTTTCCACAACACCACCAGCCACCAGTGTGCCTCAGGACCCTAGCAGCAGACACCAATTCATATTTTCATTTTAAAATAATACCCTTCAATTCACTGTGGACAAAGAACTCTCTAAACCCTAAGAAAAAGGCTCCAGCACCCCAGGTGCCTGGTTTGCTTTCTCTGGGTGAAGATGTGCCTTCAGGAACCCAAGTACCCTAAACACCCATCCCTGGTGGCCTGCCCTGCATGGGGGCTGCAGGCCACAGGGAGGGCTGTGGGGAAAGTGCCAGCCCAGCTTTTACAAAGCATTGTTTCTGAAGGGGGAATTAGGGGGAGCTTTAAAACAAATTTACACATCCAGCATAACACTGGAAACTCTGCAGAAATTCTGGGTTTTAATCACTGAGTTGTCAAATTGAACAAATGGGGACACTAGAACACAAATGCTTCTAGGAAAGGGGTGCAGTCTGAGTGTCTCATCCCTTTTCAAGCACACAGGATCAAGGCCTGGTTTAGTCTGGCTCCTCACAGTCCCTGCCTTGTTTCTGGAGCCCTGCACCCCGCTGCTACTGAGACTGTGTCTTTTGCTCCCTGAGTCTGCACAGCTAGGGGCCCTCTACTACCTGCTGCCACCTGGACACCCAGTGAGCCCACCCCCAGATGGACATGGCTGTCACACTCCACCTCTCTCCCCAATTGTAGTGTCTGGGGTCCCAGTCCCACATCCACAGGATTTACCCCTAAACTCAGGAGCCAGGTGCCTGCTAGGTGCTCACTGTGAGGGCTGAGAATTGACCATGCAGAGACCAAGGCGCCCTTGGACCTCACCTCATTTTTCCCCATACCAGAGCAGATCCCCCTCCAGATGCCCTGCTGATATCCCAGGTGCTCAGTACCCATGGACAGGAGAAAGCGGCTGCCATGGCCTCTCCAGGACCAGGCCCAGCCAGACGGGAGAAAGCAGTGCAGCCCAGCAGTGGCGGAGAATGTATATTTGGAAGAGGTCAGGACCTCGGCTGGAGGCTGGCTTTTTATGGTGAGGAAGCTGGCCGGGAAGGGCTCTCTGGCGATGCTTTCCTGTTGTGTCCCTGTCCTGGCATGCTGGGCCAGGCAACAGAGCGGGGGAGAACTGAGGCCCTATCCTGGTAGAGTCGGAGCCTTTGGGTGAGTGCGTAACTGCTGGGCAATGTCACCTCATTCATCACCAGCCCAGAGAATGAGCAACATTGCCCTGCTGTCTCCTCCTGGGAACTCTGCTGCCTACAGAGCCCTGTCACCTTCACCCTTCGCTGTGGGAAAGGGACCTTCTTCCCAGCCTGGTGGGTCCGGGCAGCGCCTGCTCCATTGGGACCACTGCAGCCCAAGGCAAAGCCAGGCCTGAACAGGGCCCTAGGGTAGAACCTGCCAGAGAGCCCAAGCTCAGGGGACACAGGACCATGTGTGGGGTGCCAGCTGGGCCACAGCGTGCGGCTGTGATCACCTGCACCCCGAGACCTTGGTCTCCTGGTCCTCTGCGCCCCACAGATGGCTCTGATCCCCTATGCCCTGCACAGGGCCAGCGCCCAAACGGAGAGGTCTCCGACATGGGTCTTCCACAGCCTAGAGACCTGCGGCAGCCACCACTCAACTCGAACAAAAGAGTTCTTATTTTCCCTCCACTCACAGATGTTTGGAAGTCCTGTCTCTCCAAACAATTGGCCCCCATCCTGTCTGGTTTATACATTTGCGTTAAGAGACCCCTACCCCAGAGAGCCCTACCCAGGGACTCTGACCACCAAGCCCAAAGACTTGCTCTGAAACAAGGAAATGCATTGGGCCAAGGAGTTAAGGGCGCTAAATGTGTTGATTTTCCTGCTTGTTTCCCCTGGAGTGGGTAATGGGGTGCTTTTCAATCTGTCGCTCGCTCTCCACCTAAATTGTCCCCACTCTCATAACCCCCTGCCTTGCCCACTCCCACATTCCAAGGCATAAGTCCCTGCCCCTGGGCTAAGACGTTTTGGCCACCCGCTGCTGCTCGCCTCCCTCACAAATGGCTCTACCTTGCCCACTGAAGTCATACCAAGCTGTGTTGATTTAAGGGCCAAATGGGGTGACCCTAAAAGGCCAGCTGGGGAGGGGGTGAGCAGGGATGTCTGGCAGTCAGAACTGCTCATCTAGACACCAAGGTTTCCCAG